ATATATATATATATATATATATATATATATATATATATACTATAAATCAAAATACATTTCTTTTAAATGTATAGCACAATAATGGAGGCAGCAACATATGATAGAGAGGACAGAACAAGAAAGGCTATTAATAATCTTTCATTGTGCAAAAGTATTATAATATGAAGGCTCAATCCAGAGCGCCACAAAGCGCTTATGTGCATCCAGCGCACAGAATGATGCACTTGAAGCAACACAGTAACAGTGTGCAGTGCTCCACATAGAGAAGTTCAAAGCACAACATGAAGAGATATTGATGCATAGTGTATTATATGTGTGCGATAGTTTATTGAGCCTTTTCTTTGAACAGTTTTAAACTTCACTTACTGTGCGCTCTTAGAGAGAGTTTCATCGTCTTAACTGTAGTAACCAAACACGACACGCAGTTTGAATGCTGAATGGAGGCTGTCAGACAGCCGCAGCGGAGAGAAGAGTTTACATGAACTTGAATTTAAGGACTTAAATATTCATCTGTACCTCACACTGAGCTATGGAACAGCTTCAGAACACTTGAAATATAGTGCACAAGATCTTTATGGTGCTTTATAATGATTTTTTTGCCTTTCATGGGGCTTAACAATAACACAGAATAGTATATGCAGAATATAGGATTTGGATCGGTCTCGTCTGACCGATACCCGATCCGGCAGAAAATGGCAATATCGGAGCCAATACCGATACTGAGTATCGGATCGGTGCATCCCTACTCCAAGGTACGGTCACATTCGTGTTAAAATAAGACTAGTGTGACAGAATTGCTAAAGTTATATCCAGTATTTAATAATAATTATCAGGATACCTAGCATTCACATGTAAAAACAGGTTTAAATTTTACAGGAATTACATCTAGTACTAGTGATAAAATGAAAATGTATATATTAAATCGGGTCTGTGTACCTGCAGGTGAGGCTGCGCCTCCGTTCTGTTTGGGGCAGAAAGGTGAAGGTGGCTCTGCCGCAGTCAGTGGGCTGTTCTCATTGGTCATTTCCAGACCGCTGTCGTTTTCTGACAATCCCTCTCCTACTGACATGTCACCATTCACAGCAGCCTGAAAAAAAGAGACATTCTGTTTAGAACATCTGGACAACTCACAATCTTCAATATAGACAAGCAAAACAACAACAGAACTCCATCCCAAGTCACCTGGCACAACTAAATGGGTGTGTGACGGTACAGGTGTTCGCTATTCCCATTCATAAAAAAGATACTAATGGTGGGCAGGCCCAAACATCTCTACAACATCACTGTCACTCTAACACAGCGCCCATTATGGTTATCAATGAATGGTGACATTTAGCACCAGAGTCTGGGTCATGCTAACCAGCCAAAACTCCACCACTTGACCCTTTCTTTTGCACTATGTTGACAGAAAATATTTTTACCTATTAGAGGAAAACTAGACGTATACACCTGAAGAGAAACACGTTTAATTCCATCAAGTACAGTCTTAAAACACCTAGTGAACAAGATACATTTCTCAATAGCAAGGAAAAAATCCATCTCACTTCTTTTCTTGAAATGCCCCAAAAGAGAAAAATGAACATATATGCATACATATAGACTTGTGCCTGTATTCGGTAATGCGATATATCATGGTAATGAATATGCACGATATTGTTATCGTGGGCACTTCTAAATACCGTGAATAATTATATATTACAAATAATTCAGAATTGTGAATGCATTTTAAGAATACTTTTCCCCACTTTTTTTTTAACTTAATTTCAATATCGTGATAATACCGTATACCGTAATAAAAGCATGAGCAATTAATCGCAACATGAAATTTTGATACCGGCATATCCCTACATACATATGAATATAATCTCATGATTTACATTGATTAAATCAAATTTGGTAAATGTGTTAAACCAGTGAAATTAAACTTGGGGGGCACAAGGTTGAAAACCCCTGGGCTACTAGACGTCAAATCGATCACCTGTTCTGGCAATCTATTATGTACACAACAAAATAAAATGTTCCTTTCTCTGATTTGCTTCGATGATGTACAGAATACAAAAACCCTGCCGGTCTTGGCTGCTGTACTTTTAATTCTTTCAATTTAATTTCTCATCAGGTTTCTTTTGTTGTGCCAGAAGCGGTTGTGTTGTGACTTGAAGAAGAGACCGTTTGAGGCCTTGAGAAGATCAGTCCACTGACAGAGCAAAGTGTCAACACAAACTATACAACCAATACATGGCTGTGCTCTGAGAATTAATGTATCTAGAGTATGTGTTTGGTCATGCCTCTATTGCTTGCGGATAAGTTGACATCCCTGAGCGATTGATGACTTTTTAAGCGCCTGCTTTGATGCTTCTTGGATACATTAATGTTTCTCTTTTGGAGGTACGCTGTTGCAGGATTTCCACAAAAATATAAAGCAGCACAACTGTTTTCAATAATGCTAACAATAAGAAATGTTTCTTGAGCTGCAAATCAGCACATTAGAATGATTTCTGAAGGATCATGTGACACTGAAGATTTAAGTAATGATGCTGAAAATTTAGTTTTGCATCACAGGAATAAATTACATTTTAAAATACATTCAAACAGAAAACAGTTATTTAAATGATAATAATACTATTTCACAATATTTGTTTTTAATGTTTTTCATCAAATAAATGCAGCCTTCATGAGCATAAGAGACTTGTATTTGTATTGTACTGTATTGTGTATGTACAAAAATGTTTTGGTCATTACTTTTTTCTAAAGGCTGTACTATTAGACTATTTAAGACAAATATGTTTTAATAGTGTTTTAACTTATCTAGCATGTGTGATTGTATGATAAGCCCGAATCATTTTAATGAATCAGATCACAGTGTCCTTTTCCATGAATCAAAGATTTGTTTGTCCCTCAAAAAAATTCCTGCTTCACATTTTACTGTAGACATAGTGTATTAAAATGTTATATTTCCCATATTTAGTAGGGATGCACTGAAATTAAAATTCTGGGCCGAAAACCGAAACGGTTTTTTAAATAATTTTTTATAAATTTCATTAAATAATATAAAATAATTTTGCAAGACTTTGTAATTTAACTCAATAATTTTAATGAAGCTGAATTTATCCCTAATATTTAGTTTATGGTGTCTCTGAAAAAAAAAAAAACTTTGGTCACACTTTATTTTTAGGTCCAAATCTCGCTATTAACAAACCATTAACTATGACTTTTGCCTTAATAAACTCCTAATTTGCTGCTTTTTAATAGTTAATGGGGTAGTTATTAAATTTAGGTATTGGGTAGGATTAGGGATGTAGAATATGGTCATGCAGAATATGTGCTTTATAAGTACTAATAAACAGTCAATATGTTAATAATAGGCATGCTAATAAACAACTAGTTAATAGTGAGAATTGGTCCCTATACTAAAGTGTTACCGAAACTTTCAAGTAAATACATAAATATTGAAATGTACATAATTATCATACAGGTGAAAAATATTTATATGATATGACACTTTACAGCTTTATAACCCAGCCCTCATTTGAACATTTGAACAAGTGAATTAGTGTTTCTGTATGTGGACATGCATATGAAAATTGAAAACTATAATTAACCAGAGATAACACTGTTTTCTATAAGTACAGGCACAGAGTAAAGCACACAGGCTGAAGATTGTGTGTTCATGGATGTGGGAACAATACAGGCTGCTGTCGCATTTTTGGAACCGTCCACTGGAATGCTAGACATCTTTCATGCCACAGCTGTGCTGCAGCGGATCAGAGGTAGGGCTGTGCACACACACACACACACACACACACACACACACACACACTCACTCCCACCAACCACAACAACCACGCTGAATGTGTAAGTGGTTAGCTTTTATAAGTTCTAAATAAAAAATTGTTTGTGCATGCAGATAAAATGGAAAATACCCCACAGATCTTTTATTATATCATTTTGAAAATGCCTATTTTGAGTGGAAGCAGAAACACGCTGTATTAGAGCATGCCTCTTTAAATGCAAATGAGCTGCTGCTCCCCGCCCCCTTTTCCAGAATAGAGCTGCGCCATTACAGCTCGTACCTGCTATAAAACATATGTTTTGGTTCTGATTATCATGTTTTTCGCGCTGAAAACATGAATTTTAAACTATATTAGTTTAAACTTCTTATATACGGTTTTCTGAGCGCACACATCCGAAGCACACGGACAGAAAGCGGCTGTCACAGCATGTGAGTACTAAACTAAGTTCTCATTCACACACAAGTTTACGTTAAAAACACACATGAGTTACAAAAACAGTCGGTTCTCTATAAAAGTAGTTTCTATAAAAAAAGGCACATTGGTTATTTTTCTTATGTTATTTTTATATGGTGATATTCTTATAATGCAAGCATTTCTATTTTCCAAAGCAAGGTGTCCAAAATCAATTGAGTGAATAAATCATTAAGCATCGATTACATCACACTGTGTGCATGTACATATCATTCAGATTAAGTCATTTTGGATCATTAGGCTTTAAATGAACACATTTAATGAAAAAAAATACTTTACTTTTATTTTGTAACCTATATATTTTAGACCACAATGAAGTATATATTGTATAAACTTACAGTACATATACATTATATAAACACACTGAACAACATGTGTAATGGTGATTTAATTGATTAATGAAGAAATTATTGACAGATTAATTTATTATCAAGATTAAGTCATTTGTCGCAGCCCAAGTGTTTTGAGTTTAAAGTGATAGTTCACCCAAAAATAAAAACTGTCATAATTTACTCTCACTTCGAACCTGTATGACTTTCTTTTCTTCTGTGGAACAAAAATGAAGATACTTTGAGAAACATTTTTTTCTTTTTTATCCACACAGTGGAAGTCAGTGGTCACCAAAACTGGGTGGTTACCAACAATCTTCAAAATTTAATTTTTACGTTCCACAGAAAGTCATACAGGTTTGGAACGACATGAGGATGAATGATTCTGATGACAGAATTTTTCTTTTTGGTTGAGCTATCTCTTTAAGGCTGGAAACTCTATGGTTTGTGTTGTCATTTTGAGTTTCACTCGTGGATTAATTATGTGATAACAGGCTTTACTGGCTAAAACAAGTTGTCTTACAGGTTTGAGGACATGACATGCGCTTCCACATTTTGCTCATGTTGCATCTTGTCTGGAATTATGCATGTCTGCTTTAACATAACTGTTATCTGATGAGCCTCTCCACTCATCAGTGTGCTCAGATATGCCTTTGGCTACTGTGAGAGTGTGTGTTCACATGGTTGGCAAGCATGGCAGCAGACACACACATAACTCTGGGAAATAACAGTGAGTTTTCACACATTGCTATTCCTTGGTGTGTGTGTGTAGTATTACGTGGTATAAAGGGAATCTGAGCCACCTGGTTTGATCCGCTGACTTTCTTCAGCCTTTCAAAAGCTTTAGGCCTTTAGGCAAAACCAGTGCAGGGGGTGTCATTAGGAGCCAGCAGAAAGATAAACTGAATGACTGAAGGAGCCCATAAACCCTTTCACCTCTCCAGCCTCTACTTGCCTCCTTAAACAGAATACATGGTTTAGTTTTATGTAAGCTTATTCTTGTGTGTTCATGCTAAGGTGATTTGAGTAGCTCTTGCTTTGATCTTTAAAGAGATAGTTTGGTCATGCGGTGCTCCTATGCATCATGCTGATGACATGAGCAATAATTAATGTTTCATGATTGTCATTCCTGTGCGAGTCATTTTTCAAATCATTGTATTATTATAAAACACATACTTAAAGTGATAGTTCACACAAAAATGAAAATCCTGTCATCATTTCCAGTCATGAAATTTATAATCTGGTTTAATCCAAGTCTTGTGAAGAGATACAGTGGCTTTATATAATGTACTCATTTAATTGAGGCTTTTAGTCGCTTATAAACACACATACATGTAGCGCATCAGTGGTAAACATGGATGCTTGTGCGTCACATGCTGAAACAGGTCTCATTGGTTGCCGTGCATGTTTGAACTTATGTGTTTACCATATGTGATGTGATCTATATATGTGTGTCATTGTTAAAATGTAAATAAATGCCAAAATTAAAGGGATAGTTCATCAAAAAAATTTTTATAAATTCTGTCATCATTTACTCACCCTCAAGTTGTTTCAAACCTATATGACTTTCTTCTGTTGAGCACAAAAGAAGATATTCTGAAGGGGAGGAGAATTAACTTTCATAGTATGGAAAAAGATTGGCTACCGTCAGCTGTTTGGTTACCAACATTCTTCTAAATATCTTCCTGTGTGTTCAACGAAACAAAGAAACTCACAGGTTTCTTCAGGTTTGGAACAATATGAGGGTAAGTAAATGAAGACAAAATTTTCATTATCGAATGAGCTAATAGTGAGAATGAGCCTCATTTAAAGTGATTGTATCTCTTCACAAGACTTTGATTAAATCATTTGATTCATATGGATTAGTTTTGCTGTATGACACCTTTAAGACCTTTTTGGATCTTCTACGCTTTAGTTACCTGGACAGAAAACTCATATGTTTCATTAAAGGTGACATATCATGAAAATCTGACTTTTCCAGGTATTAAGTGCTATAATCAGGTCCCTGGTGCATCTACCAACCAAGGAAACGTGAAAAAGATTAACCCAGTATATTTTTTTGGTAAGCCTTTTTCTGCAAGCGTCTGAAAAAACGAGCGCGTCTGATTTCGCTCCCCTAGTGATGTGGCTCTCACTAGGGGAGCGAATCACTAGGGGTATTGCTGCTGCCACACAGATCTAAAATAAACATGCAATTTATTTCCCGGCTGTTTACCTTCACAGAAATAACTACTGTTCTTTATGAACAGCCCAATTACCTAATTGATTATTAAATCTTTTGTCTATTAATTTGATTAGCAATTCTGATCCATTTTTAAAGCCATATTCACTTGATATTTCCATAAAAATAAATAAATACTACTAATAAAAAAAATTTTCTGAATACTTATGAATGCCTCAAACACACTAAGATATCCTCAAAACCTTTGACTTATAGCATGCACTGTAAATGGAAAGGGTGCCAGGATTACTTTATCATCATAAATATGGCAAGACTATAACCATACTTTCAGGATTTCAGAAAGAAATAATGGTATCGTGACAACCCTACACCACAGACTTCCATTTCTGTCAGCACATTTTTCTTTTCAAACTAAGGCGAGTTAAAATTACTCTCTGTGGTTACTGACAGCATATGAAAAATTGTGTCAGTAGCTTAACCCGTATTTAACCCAAACATTCCTTTAAGTTAAAAAGAAATAATGATGTTCAGAACACTGACATGCTGCGTAAAAGGAGGTCAGAACCTTTTTAAGACATCTCATAATACAGATTTGTTAGTACAGACTAGGTTCAGTTGAGCTCTGGGCATCTGAATGGCCAGTGTGCTTCTCTCTCCTCCCCGGCCAAGCAGCTGGTCTCTGGGATCCAGAGCACTTTCTCGGCCAGGTGCAGTGTTCAAAGAGCCTGCTCTCTCTCTTTATCTCTCTCTCCATGCGCTCTGTGGCGTGCAGGATCAGAAGAAAGTAATGAAGCAGTCTTGCCTCATTTACAGTCACAAAGAATATGGAGAAAAATCCGTTAGAATAAAAAAAAAATCAGGACAAAGTTGAATCGAGCTGCCATAAAGAAAAACCTGTTAGAGCAGCTCTTCCACCAAGAGAACCAGACACTGCCATTTTTCCCTCTCTGTCCCCTTTCACTAATCCCATAAATTCCACTGCACCTTTGGCCTCATTTTGAACCCAAAACACCAGAGACGAGTGAGACACTCACACCACTCCACACCTCCACACACTCTTTGTGTGCATGTAGGAGAGAAAAATGGTTTTTAATGTGAGAGTAAGGCTGATATTATTAAAGTGATGCAGGGTGGATGCTAGGGTTGTGACGGTGAGGAAATTTTCCCATCACCTCACTCTTCTTGTCAGTCAGCTCGACTCACTCTCCTCACTGGAGAAATGAAATCTGATCTGTGATGCAACTGTCGTTCGGCACGCTGCATTTGAGCAGCCGCGTTCAGTTTTTAATTGTAGTGTCTGTTCTTTTACTGAACTAAATGATTTTTATTACTATAAAAAAATCAAAACGACGGTGGCGGTCGGTGACACCCCTAGGTGGTCTAGGTGGGCAAGTGACGTAACCGGTGTTGCGGCTTAACACCAGTATCACCGTCAGCACCGTCTATTGCGGCAAGCCTAGTGGATGCTGGATTTTTAGCGAATAGCGGTCAAAGCTATTGCACAATATTAGAATGTAGTAAATAAGACTGCACAATATAGAGGAAAAATGCAAAAAATTTGCAATTTTCGCCATTCATTGTAATTGCATGAAGAGCAACCAGAATGTTTTTCAAAATGTCCCCTTCTGTGTTCCAAGAAAAAAAGAGTAAAGGGATGGCAAATCATGACAGAACCTAATGCTATCCCAACACTCTTTCTTTATCTTACCGTGGCAGTCATCTTGTCACTTTCCGCCATGATAGCGGAGGAGTACTTGTTGGATGGCATCACTATTTCAGTCGTCTTTTTTATTTCTTCCTCTCAGTCCTGTCAAAAAAGAAACATTAGACCTGGTTAAATGGCAAAAAGTGGCAAAACATAGCAAATATGACTTCAAAAAACATAATGGACCTGAGAAATAATTAATGGATAAGTGTTATAGATTACATTGACCTCTGTCTCAACTAAATATGTGATCATACAGTATTTGACCATAGGAAACTAAAATATCCTTCGAGAACAATAAATAGAAAAATAGGCCAAATAATAATAATGACTTTATATAAAAGTCATTACACAATCAATGACACAGATTCTTCAGACAGATCCAGAACACTATCAATCGAGTTGTGATTAGGTTTTACATACAGTCTTTGATTTTCAATGTCAAAATCAAACATTCAATGTTTCAGGTAATGATTGTCTAGGTAAAACCATTATAAGACCCCAGCAGCCTAGACAAAATAGTCTGATGTTTTATTTTAAGACATAAGTCTTAATAACAAAATAAAGACCACTTTATTAAACATAAGGTTCACCAAAATTACAATTTTGTCATCACTGACTCGTCATCAACCTCATTTTGTTGCATTGAACAGAGCAGCGTGAACATTCTTTACAGTTTTTTCTCAATCACTTTGGCTCATTTTTTTTGCAACAGTCTCAATATTGCACTGTAAGTGTAATTGTCACAACTTCTTTATGGAGCATCACAACTCCATAGCATGTCTATAAAATGTAGTAACTCAACCAAAACATTTAATTCATGCTTCAAAACTTGGTAATTGTGTCAGTAATTGGTCTGACAGATTTTGATAATTGAATGGATCATTTTGGATCATTGATAGCTTGCACGATAATAGATTGTTTAGAAGTTGTGAAGAGTGTGACAATTTCACTGAGAATCAACTCATCCATTTTGATCAGCAAGCCATGTGCATTTAGTTATTGTGTTAACTGTAGACAATTTTACTTACCGATTTGCAAATGGGCCAAAACACATGCAATTTGCTGAAAAGAATAAGAACCTCAAATCTGGCGTAAACAAGAAACAAATTGTTTACACTATGAGAAAAACAGCTGTGTTCCTTTAAACCTAAAGCACAATGCAATGTATAATCACTTCAAAATATAGGTAAAACAACTGTGAAAAATCAAAAAGGAAAATTCCTTCCCATTACCATGGTACTCTGGGCACTATTTTTATGGATTTTTCTTAGAGGTCAGAATTCTGATCTTATTGTCACAAGAAAATCCAATCAATCTTATTTGAGAATTGAGCCAAAGAGATTAAGAAAACTTTAAATTCTGCTTTTTAATGAATTTCTAATTATTTTTTCAATCCCACAGAAGAGAGAAAGTAATTTTTGGAATGATATGAGGGTGAGTAAATGATGACAAATGTTTCATATTTGGGTGAACTGCCTTTAATATTGCCATGTTTAATATCATTATATAGAGTTCATGTTCAACTGTAGTCCAAAAATACCACGAGGTAGAAACATTTAGCCTGTCAACACAACACTCATCAGTCATTCATACTTTCAGATCACAGCTGTTGTTCACGTTACACCCTGAGGGTGGCGAATGCATTTCTGTGTCATTATAACTCATAACAACCTTTCCCCATCACTTTGGAAGGCAGTTATAGTCTATATAACAGTCTATATCTGACATGCACATTAGTTTTGGGGAAATAGGGAAACTGGGGAAAGTGTCAAACCACATTATGCAAACAGGACACAGGCAAGGCCTACAGGTGCATCCTACAAGAAATGGCTAAAGGACATTGTGCTTAAGTCTGCAGACAAGAACGTGCAAGTACACACACAAAGGCACTTACGTCTTAACTGCTATGGATCTCATTTCAAGTCCATTATCAAAGTGACAATGCGTAAGTTTTCCTTATGGGTCCTATAAACACACATGCTCTCTCCACAGCCCAGTGGGAGAACTGAGAAGTGAATAAGAGTGAATACAATAAGAGGCCACATCAAAGGTCTGTATGAATGACAGAGATTGTCGACTGAACCTAATGTGAGGAAGGTTTTTGTATTAATGCACTTTTGAGTGTGTACTGTATGTGAGTGTTTGAATCTGCCACAATGATCACAAAACCTATATTAAGTTTCACATAAAAAGAGATTAAGATCATTATCAAATTCTATTATGAATAACACAAAACATATTTCCTCAAGTACTGTAAGTGTAGAAAAGTAGGGTAGTTACAAATGTTGCGTTCAAGTCCTCTTCATTCGTATTTACGATTTGGGAAAACATGCAAATACAAAATGATGATAAATGATAAAGAATGTGCATCAGGTCTGATTTTTTAAAATGTTTTTATTCCATTTAAGAATGTGCTGCAAAATGAATTGTTATTCTATTGAAATTGTACAATAACATTAATAAGTGTAACAGATTATCAAAAGATAAAAATGGTGAGCGGGCCGGGGACTTGGTTCTGTACATTGGTTGTTGATTAGATTTGTAGATGTGGGCGTTGCACTCAAAAGTGGAAGCAAATGAGCTGAAGACTTTAGATATACCAAGACAGATATACCAACACACAATATGGATGAATAAGTCCTGTCTTCTACATAAAAGAAACAATCGCCAGTTGGTAAAGTCATTGCGTCACTGCCACGGCTGTTCAAAGCTCCAGTTGCCATATGCCCTGTCCCAAATCACACCCTAAACCCTTGCAGTCTTCCTCTGAGACCACAAATTTTCTTGATGTAATGCCGTAAGTCTGCTGTGGAGCTTGTCTCCGTGTGGGCTCAGCAGAAGTGCTTATCGAGGGTGCAACGGCCACAAAGGGGGCACTCGTGAGCATCCTTCTGAAAGCTAAAATGACATTGGGCAAATTGGACACACTATGCACTTATGGACCTAACGGACAAACACTCGTGGTTGCCATTGTAAGCCCTCAACACTGCAAGTACACATGAAGAGTGCCATTTGGGACAGGGCCAAAGAAACAGTGAGTGTTCTGAGACGTGCGATTAGGACTGCACATGTGCATTTGCTGGTTCAGCCTGAAATATAGGATTTTTCTATGCTATTTGAGCATAAAAAAACATTTATGGGACCATTCATGTCAGATTCTGTTTTTGATTTCAGGATTTCCCCATTCAAGTAAATAGGACTTGGTCTTGGGTGCCCGAAATGGCTGCCTGGAGGCGTTGGAAATATGGCCACCAAGTGAACAGACTTTCCTTGAAAGGGACTTTGGGTAAATTTGAGTTGCAGGGGCGGGGTTTAGGCAGACCACGTGACTGGATAAGTCCTGCATGTGTCACCAGACAGAAGTCTGTTGTCCAGTAAAGTTATGACTTTTAGTTAAAAATAAAAGGTCAAAATACATTTTGAAAAAATGCATGGCAAAGCATGCTTTTAGAAAAATTATAGAGTGAATTTTCATTTCATGCCAAAGTTAATGGACAAGTTTTAAACTTGTCAACAGTTCGTAAACTAAAATGGCTGCCTGGAGGCGTTGGAAATATGGCCACCAAGTGAACAGACTTTCCTTGAAAGGGACTTTGGGTAAATTTGAGTTGCAGGGGCGGGGTTTAGGCAGACCACGTGACTGGATAAGTCCTGCATGTGTCACCAGACAGAAGTCTGTTGTCCAGTAAAGTTATGACTTTTAGTTAAAAATAAAAGGTCAAAATACATTTTGAAAAAATGCATGGCAAAGCATGTTTTTAGAAAAATTATAGAGTGAATTTTCATTTCATGCCAAAGTTAATGGACAAGTTTTAAACTTGTCAACAGTTTGTAAACTAGTTTCTTAGAAAAATAGACGAGTTATTAAAAGAACGACTTGGGTTTTGGTTAAACTATCAGATAGCCTAGTAGCTAATAAAAGCCGAGAGAAGGTCGCGGTATTCGAGCTGGCCGTATCGTTCTAACTTCAATGTGCAGTCTCATTGTTACTAGAGATTTGATTGAAGTCTGAGTCATTTCTATGCAGCAGCGCAAAGCCAATGTGACGGCGCGGCATTCCTCCGAGAGGCCTCGCGGGCACGCCGTACAGTCTACCAACGCCAATTAGCACGTTACCCTCGCTCAGATGCACGCTCGACTCAACTCACAATCACCCCGCTGCGGAATTCACCTGCATTCAGCGCCCCCTTATTTATCACGCGCTCATATTTCTATTGTTTTAAAGGGATAGCTCACTCGAAAATGAAAGTCCAGAGTCATCATATACTCGACCTCATGTTGGACCAAACCTGTGTGATTTACCTTTCTTCATTGGAACACAAACTGAGCGGTTAGGCAGAATGACAGCCTCATTCGTTGTTCACTTTTCCTAAGAGATGCAAGGAAAGTGAACGGTGACCGAGGTTGTCAGTCCCTCACATTCTGAATAACATCTCATTTTGTGTTCCACAGAAGAATTAGTCATACTTTTTGGGATGAGTAAGTTAAACAATGACAGAACTTTCATTTTCGGTGAACTATAACTGCATGGCAATACGCTTAAGTGAAAAGGGCAGAAATATAAATGAGATGTTTCCATAATTAATTATGTTGCAAAAGTAAGACGTTGTCAGAACAGTAAAAACTTTAATCCGCGTGACGCGCGTTATAACACTTCTATGACGTCAACGAAATAAACCGGTTTTAATACAACAAAAATGATTTGAGAGCATTTACTTCATATTCGGAAAGTTCGCTTCTTTGGGGAAAAAAAGCTTAAACCACAAAATTAAAAATATTGGTTTCAGTTACTTTTACCGACTATTATTATTTTAAGAGCCTATGTCAGGAAAGCCCTCTTTTTGTACACTGCATCTTCACCAAACATCTGGATTTTCATGAGAACATGGAAATCTTGGAATAATCGATTTTTTTTAATGTGCACAAAACACTAGGGAACTCAGACCGGTAATGCAGGAAAATGATAAATAAATCTCACAAACTTCCCCACGCTTACATAATGACCTATAAGACAAGCTTTCCGCACGCCTCAGCCATGCGCGCTCGATAGCCACACACTATTCCATGCTTTAACAACCCCAAATTAAATACATTCCAGTTACATGTAGAATCTATAGGTTAACGTAACTAAAATAAAACTAAGTTTGAGCAAGTAGTCTATATCATCAGACATGTGCGGTCATGCTGCACTTGAACTCTCCCGGAGAACGCGCACTAGTGCTCCATGCAGAAGAGGTATGAAACTTACCTGTCTCTGGAGAAGTAGTGTTATTACAAAAACGCAGAGACTGAAGGTGCCGTTAGAGTAGTCCACTGCCAAAGTGCGGAGGTATGTCACACTAATCTTTGCTGGTACACACGCCTTCAAACCCTTAGGGTGAATATGTAAATGTAGTCTCGTTCACAAGGACCGCTCGGTCTTTCGCCTCTACACTCAGGCGTGACTTTTCCCGGGTCTCGAATCGCACTCCCTCTGAATAATAGATACTTTTACCTCCTACTGTTTAACCCTTTCTCGGGATGAGATGGTTATATGCCATGCACATGTTCTGTGAGATTCTATTTTGTGCCATAAAATGCTTATTTTTACTCCCGCTTACAGAACTACTTTTTTTAAAAATTTGTACTGGATTGCTTGTCACACAGTTTTCTATATGTAGGCTATCTTTGGGAATGATTAAATATCTACTTAGTATGTTGTACCACCTTTAATATAATATTGTTGGCTATACAATATTAAATGTTGTCATACAGACATTTTACAGCATGGGGGAGCGACCGACAATGAATGTGCCCAAATTATGAGAAAAGCATTTTAAAAATTGATCCCTGTAAAAACCTTGTCTGTTTTTTATACCAAGTCACCCTATCTATGCACAATCAGCTTGTAACACTGCAAAGAGAAAGGAAAACTTGAAATCGCATCATATGACCCCTTTAAGCAAACTAAGAAACACAGTTTATAGCATTACATTAGGATTTGTCAAATTCATGTTTTTATCTTTTACATGTGACCCTGGACCACAAAACCAGTCATAAGTAGCACAGGTATTTTGTAGCAATAGCCAACAATGCATTGTATGGGTCAAAATTATTGATTTTTTATGCCAAAAATGATTAGGATATGAAGAAAATATCATGTTCCATGAATATATTTTGTAAATTTCCTACCGTAAATATATTAAAAGTTAATTTTTGTTTAGTAATATGCATTGCTAGGAACTTCATTTGGACAACTTTAAAGGCGATTTTCTCGATATTTAGATTTTTTTTGCACCCTCAGATTCCAGATTTTCAAATAGTTTTATCTCAGCCAAATATTGCCCTATCCTAACAAACCATACATCAAAGTTTATTTATTCAGTTTTCAGATGATGTATAAATCTCAATTTCAAAAAATTGACCCTTTCACTGGTTTTGTGGTCCAGGGTCACATAAGTTGTTCACATGGTAGATACAAACTGGACAATTATAAGCAACATTTTGAAGAAAAACATAAAAAAATTGTTATTTGACTCCTGATGTTTTGGCAAATGACATTACATTAATTTTCTGAGGTATTTTTATGCTTCTGCCTATTTAAGGGTTAATGTCATGGAAGTTCATCGGCACAGATTTGATGTAGCCTGAATAAAACGAAATGAATCATCTACTTTTTGCAAGAAAAATAATATTTACTTATCTTGTCTTCTATGATAGTTTAATTAATGCATACAAACACCCAGATTATCACTGCACTACAAAATATCATGATCACATGACTCTCAAGTATGAGAATGACGAAAGTGCTGATCGTGGAATCGTTGAGCAGCGGAAGTGTGGAAGCAGATGTGACAGTTCAGGGTATCAACAGCGAAGCTGCAGAGAAACAATGTTGCAGTTACATTTCACGAATGATACATTACCCGACAATGTCAGCACTGACTTTCAGAATCTGAATAAATTCAGTGAACAGGTAGGACTCCAGTATGCTGCGAGCGGAAAGTGGGAATTATGATGCTAATGAATGAGTTTAGTGTATTTGTGATCAACAGATTTTCTGTATATTTTAATTAGATGTAAATAAACGGGGCTGTTGATCATCTGGCCATCAGAAAAAAAGTCGCCTTATGTGTCGTTCAGTGTCTGTAACGTTTAGTCACGTGAGATTACCATAACCCTTAGCATTAGCACAACTAACCTGGGCTTCTTTAGTGATGTAGAGGCCAAACGCGACCACGATAAACGTATATTTACTGCATTTAGACACGTCTTATCATATCATGCAGTTTTATCCTTTATATAAAGTGTTCTTATTTCAGCCTTCCATCTCCAGCAGGACATTTATAAAAGGCACTCTGATTGGTTTGCAGTGAATGTTTGAGGAAACAGATTTTTTTATAAATATAATGGACTTAATCAAGGAACACACACACATACATATATATATATATATATATATACACACACAC